TTTTTCCCCTTCCCCTCCCCCATGGTCTTCTGTTAAGTTTCTCAGGATCCACATAAGAGTGAAAACATATAGTATTTGTCTTTCTCTGTATGACTTATTTCACTTAGCATAACACTCTCCAGTTCCATCCACATTGCTACAAAAGGCCATATTTCATTCTTTCTCATTGCCAAGAAATATTCCATAGGAGTTCCTAAAAAAGGATGATTTTCACTTCTGCCTTATGGTGTGACCTACAAAATATAATTTCTTTGGTTTTAGTCTTTTTAAAAAAAAAATAAACCTAAGTATGAATAGAAAAGATACTATGAATTCCTTTTTAAAGAATGGACCATACAAAACACAAAGTTTTATTAAACAATGATTTGATTGGTATATAATTACCTCTGTGCTAATATCATGATATGGAGCTGAAGCTGCTCTGCACTTGAGTCTGAATTTTGCCACCAGTTGCTCAAAGTCTTTAACTTCACTGAAGCGAAAAGCTGTCTTTCCTTTGATGCTAATGATGACAGTTTTGGTGGAATCATTTGTCTTATCTATAGCTAAGACCTGGGGGGTGAAAACATTATAAATGAATCACATTCTCCCTTGTTGCTGACACTTTCAGGCAAAATATGTTTAGCTTACTCTTTTTGAGAGACGGAGACGGGGAGAAGAGGAGAGGGAGAGAGGGAGAGGGAGGGAAAGTGGGAACGCACCTGTGCAGGTGGAGGAGGGGTAGAGGGAGAGAGAATCTTAAGCAGGTTCCACATCCAGCGTGGAGCCCAAGGTGGGGCTCAATCTCACAATCATGACCTGAGCCAAAATCAAGAGTGGGACGCTTAACCAACTCAGCCACCTAGGTACCCCTTTAGCTTACTCTTTTGAGACTAAAGTTTTGGTCCATGGTATGGCTTACTAAGAAATAGACTTTGCAGGGGCAGTGCCTGGGTGGCTCAGCCAAAGCATTTGACTCTTGATTTTGGTTCAGGTTATCATCTCATGTTTCGTGAGACAGAGCTCGGAGTCAGGCTATGCACAGACAGCGTGGAGACTGGTTGGGATTGTCTCTCCCTCTCTCTCTACCCCTCCACTGCTCATTCTCTCTCTTTCTCTCTAAATAAGCAAAAAAAAACAAGCAAAATTTTTAAAAAAGAGAGAGATAAGGGCGCCTGAGTGGCTCAGTTGGTTAAGCATCTAACTCTTGATTTCAGC